ACAGGTCCTGGTGGGAACAGCTGTCCCACAGTGCTCTGACAGTGCCAGGGGAATTGGTGTGATGCTCCCTGTAGGCTTGGAATGATGGTGAGGGTGTGAGTCTGCTGGGGTCTGCTCTGGGGAGGGCTCAGTGGTGCAGGTCACTGCAGGGAGGCACAGAATCAATAGGAATTAGTGTTCATGAGGTTTTCATCCCTGACCACAACTGCAGAGCTAACAGCTGTCCCACAGTGCTCTGACAGTGCCAGGGGAATTGGTGTGATGCTCCCTGTAGGCTTGGAATGATGGTGAGGGTGTGAGTCTGCTGGGGTCTGCTCTGGGGAGGGCTCAGTGGTGCAGGTCACTGCAGGGAGGCACAGAATCAATAGGAATTAGTGTTCATGAGGTTTTCATCCCTGACCACAACTGCAGAGCTCTGCAAGTCCCACTTGGGTTTTGTTTCCAAGCAAACCAAACAAAAATCAAACTCATTGTCACTTTCTCCTGCCCTCCCAGGAGTCAGCGTCACGACACACCTGACCCATCCCCTCCCAGGCGACAGCGTCATGATACACCAGACCCATCCCCTCCTCGAAGGCAGCGACAGCGTCACGATACCCCTGACCCATCCCCTCCCAGGCGACAGCGTCACGACACCCCAGACCCGTCACCTCCTCGAAGGCAGCGACATGATACCCCAGACCCCTCACCTCCTCGAAGAAAGCGACATGACACCCCTGATCCATCCCCTCCCAGGCGGCAGCGGCGTCGCGACATATCTGACACTTCCCCTCCCAGGCGGCGGCGTCACGATACACCAGACGCGCCACCTCCTCGACGGCAGCGTCACGATACACCTGACCCGTCACCTCCTCGACGACAACGTCACGATACACCAGACCTGTCACCCCCCAGGCAGCGACGTCGCCATGATACCCCTGACCCGTCCCCTCCTCGAAGACAGCGTCACGACACCCCAGACCTGTCACCCCCCAGGCAGCGGAGGCGTCACGACACCCCAGACCTGTCACCTCCCCGGCGGCAGCGCCACGACTCATCACCTCGGAGGGAGAAGCCTCCTGGGTCCCCTGGTGTGAAGAAGCAGAGCAGAACGAAAGGTGAGTGTGAGTCCAGGTGTATCTCACCTGCCCCGTGCTGTGGGCACTCCCTCTGGTGCCCCACACAGGTGCTCATCCCTTAGGTGCAGCTGGTGCTTGTAGTTGCGCTTGTGCAGAGCTGGGCCGCGATTCACCCGAGAGTTACCTGCAAAGGATGAAATTCCCAGTTCTCTCAGCATTTCCATCTCTTCAGGTGTTGATTTTTGTAGGCGTTGTGCTCACACACCACTGTTTCCTGCTGTGGGACTAAACCTGTGATTTTCAGTCAGTCTCTGCTTTTCCTGTAGATGCTTTTCCTGCCACAAACACACGTAGGCAGGTGCCACCCCTCAGGTGCCTGAGGCACAGCTCTATCCCTCTGTCTCCATCAAGAGGTACCTGGAACACCTCTGATGCAGCCTAGGCCATGCCCACAGTAATTCCCTAAGTGTGATCCTCTGGGGTGGAATCAGCAAATCTTCACATCCTGATTTATCTCCCCCAGGACGGACTTCGCCAGCCGGGAGGGATCAGCACAGGTCTCGGAGTCCCCTGGACCATTCCCCTCATCGCCGGGACACCAAGGGGTCTCCCAAGAAGGTAAACGTTGCTGCTTTCCATTCCAGCTGCACATTGCTTCCACAGTTTTCCATCAACAGGAAGCGGAAGGAAGTTTTCGTACAGGTGGCTTTGCCAGGATTCTCTCTGCTCTGTCCCTTGTGGTTTTGGGCCGCCCTTTGCTTCCTCTCCAGCTCACTGCACTGCTCCCAGCCAGCTTAAACGTTGGTTTGGTTTGCTTTCCAGGCAAGCACCATGTCATCCGGGGTCAGAGCTGGCCTGGTGTCAGCTGATGTGCTGCGGAGGGAGCAGCAGGAGCTCCGGAAGCCTGACAGGAGCATCAAGCACCTGGAAGGTAGGAGTGTGGGGACATGGCCTGAGCCCAGCTCGTCTCCTGCTTGGCTTCAGCTGCCTTGGTGCTGTGTCAGGCCCTGATGTTGGGGTGCTGGTGGGTGAAAGGATTTTCCTTTGCCTGCTAAGGAGCTGCTGGATATTTAGAGACCTTGAGGTCTTTATGGGGCAGCAGGGAAAAGCAGGAGCTGTGATCCTGCCTGGCTGTGGGTGACAGGCTCTGTGGGAGAGTAGGACAAGCGAAAGGAAAGTCACAGTTATAGTCACTGAATTGTCTGGAGGTGATAAAACATGACAACACGTGTGACTGGAGTCACCTTTCCCCTGCAGAGGAGTCCCGGAACGCCGCGACCGTGTTCCGAGACAAGACTGGCCGCAAGAGGAACCTGGCACAGGAGCAGCTGGAGCAGAGGCTGAAGGCTGAAGCAGAGGCCAAGAGAGAGGAGCAATATGCCAAGTGGGGAAAAGGGTAAGTAAGGGTCTCCTGCACTCCCAAGCACAGTCCTTGGGCCTCACATCTCCTGCCTTCAGCCCAGTTTGGATCTGCTTCCAGTGTGGCGTTCTGGTGTGTCACTTTGTCCCAGGTTTGAGCCTGGGACCGGGAGGGTGCATGTTCCATGTGTCTTACAGACCCCTCAGTTATTCCCTCTGGTGCTGGAGGTGCACACACAGTGAGAGTTCAGGAGTGTGATCCATCCTGCAGATTGAATAAGTCCCAGGAAATGATTGCTTGCATTTGGGTGAAACTGTGTGTTTTTCTAGGCTGGCACAGGAGAGGCAACAGCAGCAGAATGTGGAAGATGCCATCAAAGAGATGCAGAAGCCCTTGGCCCGTTACATTGATGACCAGGACCTGGATCGAATGCTGAGGGAGCAAGAGAGAGAAGGAGACCCGATGGCTGCCCTCATCAAAAAAAGGAAGGCCAAGGAGAACAAGGAGAAAGGTTTGGCTCTGCAGTTACACCTGTGTGTGGTTTAAGGCCTCAGCAGTGGGGGAGGATGGGACCACCTCGCTGTGCTGAAAACAGCTGTTTTGCTCTTTTTGTTGCAGAAAAACCCAGGTACAAGGGACCAGCACCTCCACTCAACAGGTTTAACATCTGGCCTGGACATCGGTGGGATGGTGTGGACAGGTACTTGTTCCTGTGGGAATAAGAGTGAAAGCAAATGAATTTTGCTTCAGGGAGTTGACAGGGTAAAGATTCCCAGCTATTGGATGACTGAGGTTGTTGGCAGTTGGAAGGTTGGATGGGTTAAGTTACACCTGGGACAGAAGGGAGTGAGGCTGGTGCTGCCAGCAGGGTGTGAGCAGCCTCAGAGGCACAAACTGCTGGTGACCAAACTTGTAGCATCTCTAACAAGTTTTGTGGCTTCTGAGAAGCTTCTGCCAAGCAGCTCCTGGTGACCAGGGTGTCCCTTTGCAGGTCCAATGGGTTCGAGCAGCAGCACTTTGCCCGGATTGCCAACAGGAAGGCAGTGCAGGAACTCGCGTACAAGTGGAGCGTGGAGGACATGTAGAGGAGATCCTTGCAGAGCTCCTGGAGCGACGCCACGGACATCACCTGCTGCCAGAGCTGTTCCTTGCAGAGCTCCTGGAGCGACCCCACGGACATCACCTGCTGCCAGAGCTGTGAGGAGTGGCCTGCTCTCCCGGGAACAAGCCCTGTCCTCAGCACTCAGCATCCCAGTGGACCATCTTCCGAGAGGCAAGGCTGGATCTGGAGGAGAGGATCTCCCGATCGCACTGAGACCTGCAGCTGTGCTGCCTGTAAGTGTCCACTGCCCTCTGGAGCCCTCAGCTCTCTGGTGCAGACACTGCTTTTTGGTCCCTTTACTTGTTTTCTAATAAACTCTTCTTGTTTTATGCCAAATGCTTTGACCTCTGAGGGCAATTCCCAAGTCTTCAGGTGTCGTAAATCTCAGGTGAAAATATGCCGAACACTTGGTCACGAGAGAGTTATCCTCATGTAGTAGGTTGTTCTGCTGTAGAACTCAGGTTAAGTTTGATTTCTGTTAAGTTTATGTAGTTATGCATAGGTTACAGAGTCACCAACATGCAGAGAAGTTCAAGCTCAGCTTCTGGCCCTGTCCAAGCAGGAAACTGAGAGGGAATGCTCTGGTGCCACAAGAGGTTCTTGGAGCAGCAAGACCCTCAGGAGCCCCAGCAGCCCTTCAGGGGTTGATTTCTTGTGGAAGTAAATGTATGGAGAGTGGTTGAATCACTTCCCTCATATTTTTGAGTAGCTGCTACCCCCAGATCCCTCTGGACAGTGCTGATCTCGGTGCTTTCCCCCCCCTGCTGCTGCTTGGGGCTCGCTCTAGTGTGAAGCCTCCCAACCCCTCTCCTGTGATCACATTTGTTAGCCTCAGAGCTGGAGGCCAGGCAGAGCTTCCCCTAATCCCTGCGTGCCAGAAAGCACTTGTGGAAATAAATACAGTTGTTCCTGC